ATGCTTACTGATGCTAGCTCCCATCAGGAAATAGCTGCCTCTATCCAAGAATATTTTCAATTGAACAACACACCGGACACCTCCCCAGCTACATTGTGGGTCGCCAACAAGGCAGTTCTTCAAGACCGCCTTATTTCCAAGGTGGCGGACAGAAATAGGGACCGCTGGAAACAAATTCAGAAGCTCACTAGGGAACTAGAATCACACTACAGAACACATGCGCAGCCCCAGTACAGGGGAGCATTTTTTAGGCTTCTTTGAGTTTAATTTTAAGTTGACAGTACAACAGCAAATACAACTAGTGGAATTTTGTTTGAAATTGTTTGTTTTTGGAACATTTATTCTGACTTATAATGGTTCGTCGGGTCAAATCAGGGCCAGATCTAGTCCTGTCTGATGTGGTAGTGCAATATAAAAATGTCGGGGCAGAGAATGGGAGGTTGGCTGAGGACAGGGGTCACTGCTGGCAGGACATTCAGCAGAGCTCCTCCTCCCCACACAGCTTTGGCTTTGGAGGGGAGGGGGGAAACAACTAAAATCTGGGGGGCATAGTCCACCCCAGCCCCCCCTCCCATCAGATCCAGCCATGGGTCAAATCGATGTTGACTTTCTTCAAGAGTGACATGATGATTTGATCCATGCATGGGTTACCCTTAAAGGAGAAGTTCATCTTTTGTAACATGTTACACCAATATTCAGGGTGTAACATGTTTCGATTGCACCAGCCCCTGCACCTCCATGTCATCCATTCATACATTCAATAGTGTTCTGTGAATTGGAAAACTACAAGTCCTGACCGCCTTTGTGACAATCTGCGTGTAGTTCTCAATGGACTACCACAGCACTGTGGTAGTTCATTGTCTCCTTGTCAGTGTGTATCTGCCTGCCCGTATGAGGTACGAGCACAAAGATACACTGACAAGTCTGCAGGAGTTTTGCATGGTACCTGCGATCTGCTGACTGCGGGTGCAAAGCTCTAAGTAGAAAAAAATTTTAAAAAAAAAGGAATTTTTAAAAAGTAAAATACTTCTTTAAAATTCATTCCAGACATGATGGGCCTGGTATGAATTTGGGGGAAACTCCCATGTGTTTTTTTTTTTTTTTCCTATAACCAGCTTAACCACCTCCTTGGGATTCTCAGCCATGTAAGTGAATGGGGCCAGTTCCATCACTGGTTGCATAGGACTCAGTGGTGCCTGCACCCACTGGTGGTCTTAACCACTGACTGGGGGATGCTGTCACATATAATTGCGGTAGTAATACTGATATTATACCCAGCGTTTAGCTCTGAGCGAAAACTGTGTTCAGACAAAACCACAAGCTCATCCTTAATCTGCAGCCTACAGCCCAAGGGAGAGGATCTTATACTGGCTCTGAAGCTCAAATAAAAGCCTAATAAATGTAACATTTAAAAAGTTGTGTATTACGGCACCAGCAATTTAGTTAATTAGTTTTCAGTGAAAATACATTTGGTCTTTTAATGCATTCTTTTGTTCTCCAGTAGATGAGAATAAACTTTTTGTAACATCCAGTAATTTATTTGCTGATTTTCTGGAAGGATGCTTTGCAAATCTTATTTTTATAATTATGAATCTACTTCATACCCCATTCTACAGTCACTGACATTTTTAAAATAATTTTCTTTCAGGTTTGCCTAGTGTTGTACAATCAATGACATCCTATGAAGAGTTCAATCTCTAGTTCACTTTTTCTATCCAAGGGGGAGCACTCGGTCCTAAAGGAATTAAATGACAGGTTACAGACATGATAGCACTATCTGGTAAGCAGATACTTCAACTCCTTTTTGGCTTAAGGATAAAACATGACAGACAAAATTTTTGTGTACTTCTTTTTTATGGGTTTTTTTTTCTTTAAAAAAAAAAAAAAAAATCATAAAAGTTTTAAAATACTTTTTAAAGATTTTGCATCTGTATGTATGTATGTGTGTGTATGTATATATGTGTGTGTGTGTGTGTGTGTATTTTTTTAGTATGGAATTGTCCAACGAAAATCAGGACATTGACTTAAATTCTACTGAAATTACTGTATATAATCAATGTTCACTCAATTATTGCAGTAAATAGTATCTGACACTCAGGAGAAGCATGTGCTCACTATGAGCCTTTCATAGCATTGTGCAGCTTCCTGGGACATGAGTAACTGTATTTTTTTATTTGGCACAGTTAGCAATAGGGTGGTGTGCTTGAGCATGGTTTGACACTTTTTTATTCATATGGAATGTTCTAAGCATTTAACAGCATTTCAACCCACTTTGTAGTGGCAAAAGCTTATTCGTGTGTGTGTGTGTTTGTGTTTTAACAGACCTATTTTCCTCTTAAGCAGGTATGCTTTATAAAAAAAAAAAAAAATCAAATAGGAAAACAAATGATTACTTTTAACCACTCTGGAAGGTTCATAACCAGGCCATTTTTTTGCTATTCAGCACTGTGCTATTTTAACTGACAATTGCTTGGTCATGCATCACTGTACCCAAATTACATTTTATAGCCTTTTTTTCCCACATAAAGTGTTTTTTTGGTGGTATTTGATCACCGCTGGGTTTTTATTTTTTACTATATAAATGAAAAGATCCAGAAAATGTAGAAAAACTGTATTTTCTGCTTTTAGTTATAAAACATAATGCAATAAGAAAATCAAATTTCTTCATACATTTAGGCCAAAGTGTATTCTACTACATGTCATTGATAAAAAAAAAAAATCCCAATAAGTGTCCATTATTTGGTTTGTGTGAATGATATAGCATCTGCAAGCTATGATATATATTCTGGAATTTATTCAGCTATGGGGCTATACTGGTACCGCATCAATAATGGGTCAAGATGATCTCTCTAAGCTTGGGAGTAATGGCAGCTGCCTAAGACTCCTCAGGGGCAATATCATTTGTCAAGCATTTCTAAGATTCTTTAAGAGACAGAGCCTCTACAGTAGAAGGCTCAAAGGCCAAAAAAGCCTCAGGCAGATCAGATTCTGCAGGGGAAGGCATGCCAGTACGCTTATTGCCTGTGCGGTCCGAGTCTGCAATCAGAGTTGCAATTCGACCCTTGAAATCTGCATAACTGCAGTGAAATCCACTGAATTTATGCAGCTTTGATGCTATACAGGTAATGGTAGTGATCAGCAACTTCTAATGGGCCTGTGATAGTGTGGCATGCAATTTTGACACTAACAGACCCTCACTGGGAGGTACACTAACTGACATTGACATCTAAAGGAAAATAAACCTTTAGATCTGTTTTGTGCACTGTCACCCGACCTGATCTAGATGTGCCTGCACAGATGACCACATACTGTACCTTTCGGAGCATCATTTAAGCCCCAAAATTCTTTATTATGCAAACTCTGACCAGTTTCTGAGGTTGAGAGCTACCTATCATAACTATGGTGAATTTTTGGAAGGTTTAAAATCTATGGCACTTCTCAGTCTGTGAATATGTTTGATGTTGTATCTCACTATATACAGTTCTCTTAAGTTATTTTATGACTTCCATCTGGAGGTTCTGCCAGTAGAACTTATTCCTGTTGCAGGCAGACATACTAAGCCGCTGCCTTTAAATTAGCAGTAGTGTTGTCAATGTGTTATGTGCATTCCTTAAGGTGGCTGTTGGGCTGCCTATCCACTCCATTAGATGTTAGCTGTTTAACTCTTTATACTCATACAGCTATTTGAAGGTTACCGCTATCCTAAAATCCCAACTTAGCACACATGGTTATGAAACCTGTATTTAACCTTTTGCTTAAAGAGATGCTAGCACAAGGAGTTTACCTCTAAGGAAAGTGGTTTTAAACTCCACATATTGGATCCAGGACAAGTAATGTTCTTTCTGACCTCCTTCTAAAATGACAGTTGCCTAGGTGTCATGCCTCTGTCTTTTAGTACCTAAAGTTTCTCACTCAGAATATGTAAGAAAATCAGTTCTGACTTTGATTTGCCTTCAGTTGATTCCTACTTTGGTATGGCTAAGGCTAGGTTCACACCTATGCAGTTTGCATTTGTTCTGTTTCTGCAGTGCTTTTTGTGGTGCATTTTTGACACGTTTTGCATTTTTGTTTCATGTTGCTAGGCAGATTAAGACACCTAAAAAATGAAGCAAAAATGCACTACATGCTTTTCTGCAGCATCTCCATTGAAGTCTATAAAACCAAAAACGCAACGTTTTGCGTTTAAAAAAGTCCTTGACCCTTTCCAAAAACCTCACTGGGTCAAAATGTGGAGATGTGAACCTGTCCCATAGGAAATCATGTATAATGGACTGTAGTGCATTTCTGCAAAACACTGCAAAAAACGCTTAGGTGTGAACCTAGACTTGGAAAGTATTGAAACCAGAGGATCAGCCTGCTGGCTTGCATTTTTAAATGGGGTCAGCAATGGTCCTTTAGCCAGTTTAGAATCCAGCTGTTTAAATCCCCCATTGTTTACTGGGAACCTGTTCTAATGTTGGTCTTATCTATAGTACTCCTGGAGAACATTTATGTAAATTTAGTACCCTGGGTTAACTGCATGTGTTTATTTTTTCCCAAACAACTTAAAATTCTTAGAGGTGTATATATTTTATAGGCTACAGGCATATCTTCCTGGTGCCTGTGTTTTTAACTTTCAGTGACTGAGCCACCTGAAGTTATAGTTTAGTGAATGTTATGCTTATCAAACCAGAAGTACCCCCCTGGGGTACACTTGCCACTAATGCAGAACCAGTGCTTTAATACTGTAGGGGAATGGAAGGTCTGTTCATGGATATACTCATTATGTTACTGATTTACCCTGAGACAAGATACAGGCAGCGACATTGAATAACACATCTTTAACCACCTCCCGCCTGCCATATAGTAATATGACGGACGCAAGGTGGTTCTCTCGTACTGGGAGGACGTCATATGACGTCCTCCCATTCTCACCATGCATGCGTGGCTCAGGAAGCGTGCAGCGTGGCGATCGGCGGTGCGCTTTGTCCCTCGGACACAGTGGATCACCGATCACGGAAAGAGCCGAACATGTTGGCTCAGTCATCTGATCAGCTGTGTCCAATCACAGCTGATCACATGTAAATAGGGAAATGCTGGTTATCTGCATTTCTCTCCTCTCGAGCTGTCATGCTGACAGCTCGAGAGGAGAGCCAGTAATCAGCTTTCCGCGGAGGCGACATGTACACTGATCATAAGGGCACTGATGATCAGTGTGCCCTGATGATCAGTGTAGCCCCAGCTGCGCCACCTGTCAGTGTCCATCAGTGCCTTGTGTCAGTGCTCATCAGTGCCTTGTGCCACTGCCACATAAATGCCACATATAAGTGCCCCTCTGAGCTGCCTTTCAGTGTCACCCATCAGTGCCAGTCAGTGCCACCTATCAATGCCACCTATCAGTGCTGCCAGTCAGTGCCGCCTATCAGTGCCAGTCAGTGCCGCCTATCAGTGCTGCCGATCAATGCCATATATCAGTGCTGCCTTTCAGTGCCCATCAGTGATGCCTGTCAATGCCGACCAGTGCCTCCTTATCAGTGCCCATCAGTGCCACCTATCAGTGTCCATCAGTGCAGCTTATCAGTGCCCATCACTGTAGCCTCCATTAGCACATATCAGTGAAGGAGAAAAATCACTTATTTACAAAATTTTATAACAAAAACTAAGAAAAAACTTTTTTTTTTTTCCAAAATTTGCAGTGGTTTTGGGTTTGTTTAAGAAAAAATAAAAAACCCAGAGGTGATTAAATACCACTTAAAGAAAGCTCTATCTGTCACAAAAAAAATGATAAAAATGTCATATGGGTGCAGTGTTGCATGACCGCGCAATTGTCATTCAAAGTGCGACAGTGCTGAAAGCTGGAAATTGGCCTGGGCAGGAAGGGGGTATAAGTGCCTGGTAGGCTTGCGGTTAAAATATGGCTAGTTGATGTGCATGGCAGTCTAAATACTGCTGAACCATTCAAATTTACAGAATTGTTTTAAAAGAAATAATACAGGTTTTTGTACTTCATACTTATATACCCAAGGATACCTTATACCATGTTTGAGCATTCCAAAAGTGTACATCGTATTGTCCTCTGTAGCAGTGTTTCTGACCTTAATACAGTAATCAAGTTACAAGATAATAAACCAAGTGTAGTTTTATTTTTTTCTTTATATTAACATCTAAGCATAGAGGTGTTTTTTTTTTTAATCTTTAGATAATCCTAATAAAATATTCACACAAAGGCTAGTATATATTCCACATTATAAAAATAAAAGAACACTGTTCACTTAGCAGTTTGAAATGGATAAGCATTATGCTTGTTAACTCAAAAATAATTCTTACATTGATAAAAATAATTCTAGGCCCTCTACAATAGTTACATTTTTCCATGTGAAACTAGACTTTCCTAAAAAAACAGATATACACAGATCACATACAGTTATAACATAGAATGTGTTAGGGCAAAGAAAGACAGGTGCTTTCTTCAATTCAAGATACAGCAAAGAACACTACATGGTTACATGTAGACCTTTCTTTTTTTTTTTTTTTTTTTTTTTTTTGACAAATGTTCTTCCAAAGGTGTTTGTCTAATATATTGAAAATTACTTTGTCTTACATTACTTTATAATCTCCTGGACATGAACAGGAAGTGTAATTTTACACAGCTTTATTTGTTTTAATGAATGAGGTGCCCACAGCTCCCTTGTAACCTTTTTAAAGTAAGTCAATACCCCCCAGATCTCCTATCTGAAGCAACCAAGAAGATATTGTCTTTTTTGGGTTTTTTTTCTACGGTAATTCCCTGTGGCAGTAGGCCATAGAATGCAATCTACAATCATCTTTCACAGTACTGACTGCTCAAAACTGATGTCCATAATGTTTTTTTTTTTTTTTTTTTTTACTGTCTTACTGGATAATCCCTACTCTAATTTATTTTAATAATGTGTTGCAGGGTGTATTGTACAAAACCTATGGCAACAATTTCCACAATCTTTGATGTAACTACACATAACTTTTAAAGCTTGCAAGTGATTGATTGCTCTTTGCAGTTTCTTATTTAGTAAAACAGTTTTTACATTTAACTTATATATTTGAAAGTTAAGTGTGTAGTAAGTGACATAAAAAATAGACACTAAACTGTGTAATTCATTGTGTTACAAATTGAAAGTTGGATGAAATTTGTGTGATTCGACGATTCGGATGTTTCCAAAATGCTGATTCTCAATAGTAACGAGTTTCAACTAATCTGAAATAAATTATAACGAAAACAACAAATTAATTGGCATTCATTTCCTTCATTCAGATGACATTATGCAATAGTCTAGGGCTTTTGTTCAAGTTTGAAGCATTCAAAATAACATAATGACATAATGAGTGATCCATTTCAATTTGGATGCACTAGTGTTTTTATTCTAAAGAGATTCTTTTTGTATTTGGCTTGAACTTGAGAGACCATTTTGTTTTAGTTTTTGTATATGTGTGACCTAACAAAGTCAGTTGGAAATGGGGAAATGAATTCAACTTAATGGATTCATTCATTTTATTCGGATGAGTGGCACTGTAAACTTTGAATCAGTCAATTCTTTTTGCATTAACTTTTTTTCTTATAAAAAAAAGAAGTGGATATGAAATGGAAACATATAGCAATAAATACAGTAAGGTATAAACGGGAAATAAGGTATAAACGGGAAAAAAAAACACATACCCACCTGAAATAATGAAAACACTCCAAAAATGAATAATTATGATAAAAACTAAATGATTGACTTAGTGAATTAAATCAAAATGTAAAAAAGAACCCAGATTTTCCATCATGCACATCTTTAATAAAAACAATATTTCATACAACCATGCAAATAGATTTGGTTTTCTTAAAGTATATCTAAAGATAACTATGTATCTAATAAATATTTATATATATATATATATATATATATATATATATTTTTTTTTTTTTTTTCCATTTTGAATTTAGTGGGGTAGTGGGGGATAGTTTAAACTGCCACTTGTGTGCCATTGGGAATATATCTCCTCATTTCCTGTCCTGAAGACAGCAGAAAATGACAGAAAATCTCTCCAAAGTGAGGGAAACCTCTTAGACTGTGGTAACCAAAACATGTATACCCATTGGAAGATCGTCTGGTGGCAACAATTTGGTTTGCCTCCACTTTCAAACCCCCTGACAATGGTCAGGGCAAATTGGGTGGTTGAATCTCCCTAGCAGGGGGACAGACAGTCAGCAAGGATTCTAACACCTAATTACTTTAGATACAATTTAAACTGAACTTTTAAAGAATATGATAACCTCTTTCTTTGACCTTTTTCTTTTTGCTGATAGTTATTTGCAATGTCAGTAGGCACTACCTGAATAGTCGTCCTCTCAGGACCCAACAATGTTCAATAAGTCTTTTATCTCCTTGTGCAAAAGAGCATTTTGTGTGCATTTTTGTGTGCTTCAAGACTACAGCTGTGTTATCCCTCTCATCTCCAAAGAGTTGGGGACTGTTGCTTTCTTTGCTCAACTTGTTAAATGAACAAAAACAGCATGTGTGTTAATAGACCCCAACCTTTTCCTATTCATAAAAGGGATGAGTCGTTTCCTGTTGCTGATTCCTAGCATGGTGAAATATCTATCTGTGTACTAGTGAGTATTTCATAACTAATGAGTATTTTTGAGCGCTGGACATGCCCATTATAGCACATGGTTTTTAACCTTATAGAGTATGGTCCAGCATTCACCATATTGTCATAAGCACTGCTCAAGTAAGTCTGACCACTTGCTTTTTTTTTTTTTTTAGAATCTGTATAGCAGGGGTAGACAACCCTGGAGAGATGGTGATCTACCTGAACAATATGGCGCAGATCAAAGATCACCTGGGTGCAGTGTGCTTTTTTTGTCTTTTTGTTTTTCTTTTTTTTAACCTGATAACCTAGCAATGCACTGAAAGGTCTTTTTAAGATTTCAGAGATCAGGGATACGTAATGTAACGTTCAGAGGTCTGTATTATGTTATGCAGAGTTTAGAGGTCAGTATTAAGTAGCCACAGTGCAGGAGTTGGGAATAAGTATTGTGGAGTTCAGAGGTCTGTGGTATGTAATACAGAGTGCAGAGGTCAGGAGTAAGAAAAGTAGAATACAACAGTGTGTGATGAACAGTAGGAGGGTCAGGATCTAGTAATACACAGTTCAGGGAGAAGTAGCTTGTAATGCAGAGTGCAAGCATCAGTAAAGCAGGGATTGGGGTCGGGAGTAAGAAATGCAGAGTGCAGGGATTGGGGTCGGGAGTAAGAAATGCAGTGTGCAGGGATTGGGGTCAGGAGTAAGAAATGCAGTGTGCAAGGATTGGGGTCAGGAGTAAGAAATGCAGAGTGCAGGGATTGGGGCCAGGAGTAAGACGTGCAGGGATTGGGAGTAAATAACACAGAATGCAGGAGTTAGGAGTAAACAACATGGAATGCATTGGTTAGGAGTAAGCAGCACGAAATGCATTGGTTAGGAGTAAGCAACATGGAATGCAGGGGTTAGGAGTAACCAGTGTGGGTTGGTCACAATCTACTATCACATTCCCATTGACGATAGGTAGCTCACAACCACCAGGGTATAGTAATCTAAATAGAATGTAAATAGAGCAACAAAACCTATAATCAAATTACATTCATTATGTGTTCATAATAAATATAATTAATATCTATTCATTCTTTGTAATAAAAACATGTACACACTGTGTCTGTCTGTTTTTACTTTACTTTTTTTCACCCAAAAAACTAACATCTCTTTGCATTCACTGCAGCCTCATACTTGGGGCCATCTATAACATTAAAGAGAGGTATTTGACCTTTGACCCAACAAGGTCCAAATACCTTTTGAAGTTGGTTATTCCCCTCATATACGTCTTTATCTTCACATGCCATTCCATAATTTTCAGCAATTCTGGCAAAACAGATGGAGCAAATAGGCAAAGCAATGCTGGCAAATGGGGCCGATGCATGCATGCGCATTCTTCTGAGTATGTACCCTCTCTTCATAAATTCTCCAATTACTGAACCTGTTCTGACACTGGTCATAACAGGTCAAATAAAGAATAAAGTACAGTATATTAAAACAATACATATAGTGGTTAATTTACCAATCGGCTTCCAGGGTTTTTTTTTTTTTTTGTCGATGCTTAAGTGAACAAGCTGCAGTTGGAAGCTGACTGACTACCATGCACAGCTGCACCAGATGTTTCACTCTCCAGTTTTAGTAAAGTAACTGATAGTACAATTACATGGCAAAAATGTACACCAAATAACTTTGTCACATAATCATTAAATCCGTAAACCAAGTACTATTTAAATCACATGACCTTGGTTCCTAACTGTTACTGATAAAACAATTTAGGTTTATATCTAATTTCAAACCCCTCAGTGACAGTCTTGAAGGTATATATCCAGTTTGTGTCCGCCTTTGAAATCATATGTTTAATTCCCCAACCGTCCAATGCAATAACCCTCCTGGGTTGTTTAATATATATATATATATATATATATATATATATATATATATATATATATAAAAATAGA